TGTTCGGCTCAAGGTAGTCCCTTTGAGCTAGCTTCAAACACATATAACAAGAAAAATTGGTGAAGTCAGTCAAACAGGCCCCAACCCCTAGAACCCCCTACCCTCAATTTTCGACCTCCTCAAAAAATTTTCAAAAAATCAAGAGCCCCTGAAATATCAAAAAACGGACTTTGAGCGATATCCATCTTTTTCGCGTTTTTGCCCCTAGCTCAGATGCCACTCGACCGATTTACAAAAAGACCAGTAGGCGTGGCAGTGAAATGGAAACAATGTAAGTTAACTGTTTTTTTGAAATGACCTATTTCATCAATTTTAAGGTAGTGTGATAATGTCCTCAAACTTTCATTTTATTGGTGATTAAACATTTATAGAAAATTGTATCACAAAAAAAAATGGTATTTATATCACAAGTTACCTCAGAAACGAATCGGTTGCTTTCATGAACACTTTGAAGAAATACAATGCCTCGGACCTATAAATATTTCGGTGATTTTTACTTGTCGTGGCCAAACAAAAATACTATCTGAAGAGCAAAGTACCTGGAACACCCGTAAGTGCTATTTCGGATCAAATTTCTAGTGATTTGTTTTTATAAATGTCTTACTTATTGTACGCCACCTAGCAATATTCAACAATTAACATGTCTTCCATAAAGACTCCATAAATCATGACAAAGACTTCGACTTCCACTAGGGGCATCGCAAAATATGATTAGTAGCTACTTTCCCACAATGCTATTAATATTAAATTTTGCTTCTCATAAGACTCTTCCAAGGTCCTGAGAGCTGATTTCTGAATTTCTGCAAAATCTTTCTTAAAAAAAGATATACTGCTCTTTTCTCTCTAGTTGATTTAAGGAATAGAAAAAGTACTTTGGGAGGTGTCCTTAATCAGCAAGAAATATGGCCCCGACAGGCACGGTGGGGATCCGGAAACTAATTAATTATGAAAAACCGTCCAAGGTGTGGAAATTTATAATGATTTTCTAATTAAAAAACGTCGTCACTCCAAAGGACCTTTCCGCTGCCTGATATACAGTGGCAAACAGAACCACTGAACCAAATAATTTTACAAGTTGCAAACGTAGCGTGTAGAAATCATATTAGGCTTATGCAGGATACCCCAGAATGTGTTCAACCCCTTGGATTCTACGTAGAACACAGAAAAATAATCTGGATATTCTGTGGAGATAAGAACATCCCAATTTATATTTAATTAGCTCTGAGCTGTCTAATTTATTACTTTGGCACTAACTTTCAACAACACTTGCAACTAATTTATGAGAAATTTATAACAATGTCGACTGGATATTCTATGTTGATTCCGGGCACTTGATGATTCGTCGTCCACTGTCTACTACTCGACTGTACTGCTTCGGTCCTCTGTTCGGCTATTTTGCTTCAATCCGTGAGTTACAGAAGCATGCTTCGCTTCTCTAGATAGACCACCCGAACGTGATCTCGCTTCATACGTGGTCGCGTGACTGTGATTGCCTATGAGTCGATGTTGCGAGGGCGTCTCATCGGTACCCCAAAGTTCTAGTTTACGGGGGCGCTACAGTAGCTCAACGAATTTATCAGAGCATAGTTATCAATCAGGATGCCGTATGGTGTCGATGAAAAACAATCAACCTAGGGCAGACCAGTCCTAACGCATAACACCTTCATATTGGTGGTTCTATGGTGACATCTCTCGGAAATCCACTACAGTTGAAAAAAGGTATAAATTATGCTTGAATAGACAAGGACATTAACTCTTAAGTTTTTGTACAGTCTTAAATTACTGATACCAGTTTTTAGGGCTTGTCACGGTTTAAAGTAATGGGATTGTTAACGAGAACTGTGAGATTACTTTGTGTGACAGACTTTGGTAACAAGTGGCTCCTTCATGTCCCCACTTCCAGGCAGGTACCCGTTTATTGAATTGCTTTTTCATTTGAAATAGTTCTGAATACTTATTGATCGCGCCTCCTATGCTGAACTTTTACCTTTAGCTGTACATCGCCACTTTATCGGTGAGCGGGCGCGTTTTATTGAATTTGTGAAATTATCTTTTGTTTTCTTAACCATTAATTTTTAGACCGGAAAGTTTTTAATTTTTAATCTAGAGCGCTCCAAGAAATTAATTTTTGATGTATTTTAATGGTCGTCTGATAATAATTCCAGAGGCGAATTTTTTGCCGCAGCCATCACATCGGCCGGAAATATTACCGCTTTTTTAATTTACGGCCAGAGATAGGTGGCCGTGGCCGCTGAATGCTTTCTACATTGATTTATCGGCCTACTCAGCTTTTCCGGAATAGTCAACGCTAACCAAAGAGAATTTTGGCAATGGGCAAGGTGTCCTAATTATATTCACTCAGTTGGTTGGATGAACCAGGATTACGTGGAGGCAAATCAAACATCACCATCGGACTCTTTGTACAAAGTCAGTATAGTCATTCTGCTACCTTTGTAACACTCGGTATATTCAGAGTGGTTACTTCCCAGCAGATGTTACGTCTGATGACACGTGCTTGAACCAAATTACGTACTCTTCGATCCGAATTCCAACAAACCGGAACAAATGGCTTATTTGCTAAGCTAGGCTTGGTTAAGATATAAAGCGTGGGCCAGCAGTTGGTTTTTTTGATTTGGTATTATTTTAACAGTTGGTAACACCTCCATGCTCAACATACTGACAGATATATTGTATCAAACTTCCGCTGTGAGCAAGGGATCGTTTTCATCTTGAACAAAGGTGGGAAATATTAAAAAAACTATTTTCAAAGTGACTGTGTTGCAGAAACTTTGCGAAAATTGGGAAGACTATATGGATAACAGCGTGTTCGACCCATACGTACAGTCGAAAACATTGCTGCTGTTGTCCAGAGTGTGCGTGAAAACGCAAGAATGTCAACACGTCACAAAGCACAAGTGGGCATCGGTCGCACTTCTGTGCGGAGACTATTGCATAACGACCTGGGATTATTTCCTTACAAGGTGACTTGTGCAAGAGTTGAAACAAAATGACCATCCGCTTTGATATCGTTTCTCCGTGTGGGCTCTAAATCAATTGGAAACGGACGTCGATTTTGGTCTCCAAATAATCTTTTCGGACGAAGCCCATTTCCATCTGGGATGTTAGGTTAACAAGCAGAACTGAAGGGTTTGGGGTTCTGAAAATCCATATGTCGTCATAGAAAAACCAATACATCCAAAAAGAGTAACTGTTTGTGTGGCTTTTGGAGTGGTGGGATTATTGGTCCCCACTTTTTTCAAGATGAAGATGGTAACAGCCTGATGGTAAACGGGGAACGCTATAGAGACATGTTGAGGAGTTTTGCGAGGCCACTAATAGACGAAATGTAGTTGCATAATCTCTGGTTCCAGCAGGATGGCGTAACATGCCACACCTGCCGTGAAACAATCGATCTTTTACACACTAAGTTCGGTCACCGCGTTTTCAGCCATTTTGGACACGTTCATTGGCCAGCCCGCAGCTGTGATTTGACGCCCATAGATTACTACCTATGGGGTACTGTTAAGGACCGCTGTTACACTAACGATCCTCAAACAACTGATGTCCTTAAGGAAAATATTCGTCAAGCTAGTGATGAAATAGACTCACAAACTGTCAAAAATGTGCTTCAAAATTGGGTTAAGAGGATGGACTACTGCCAGGCCAGCAACGGCAGCCATTTATGTGAAATTGTTTTTCATAAATAATTGGAAGGTGTATTCTTTTGAATAACGTATCGAGTGTTACATATTATTGAAGAGTGAAGTTTTATTGCCAATTTAAAAAAGAAACCAATGGATTGCCCACCATTTAGAAGCATTAAGAGATCTTTTCCAGGCACCATCAACGTGCGTTTTACGAATACGCCTTAGCTGCGTATCTAACCTTCAAGCATACCAATATACCTTATTGCTCGCGATAACATAGCGTTTGCAGCGTGGTTCTATTACAACACCTGAAGAAAGCTTCGTATCTATAGACTCCAAGCTCTATAGTCCAGAAAGTGTCTCTGCACCACTCGCTAAAATATTTTGACTTGGTTCTTTGCATATCACTCAGAAGTTACCTCGAAAATTTCCAAAATTATTCTATTAGAGGAAATTATAAAATTGGCCTTTTTGCTCTGGACAAAGCTTTTGTTAAGTTTCTTGGTCATTCTCAATAAATGAGTACTTAATGTTCGAAAAGTGCAAAATACTTTTCTCGCACTCAAAAAACTGTATTGAAAAACCAACATTTTAATGTTGCCAACGTTCCTGGGTATTATTCAAATATCCATTAACAAAATCCAGAAGCATTTTAGGGGCCATTGTTGTTGTAAACGTTTGTTTTACAATTGTTGGTCAAGTTCATTGCATTTTTACAATTCTTCAATTGATGTCACGCCGTGCGGATCCTAGAAGTCTGCAACTAATATTTTATTCTACAAGTATTATTATCTTATTTAACATATAATGTTTATTCGACGGGAAATATCATTTATTGGGGGGTCCTCTTTGAAATAAGATTATGCAAGGAAACCGAATCAGGATATTGAGCGTCCCCAAAGATATATTGGATTCATCGTACAGGAAAGATCATTCATGTATAAAGCCTGCACCATGTAACTGCAGGTATGCGACGTACGCTATGACCTCTACAGTTGTTCGCTGTTGTCGGAAACCGTAGATCAGCCATGATAAACTCAAAGCAACTGTTGGGTCAGAGGCATGCAGATCATAGACTAGGTAAACCATGAAAACTAATATTAATCAACACAATTTACTGAAAATCTTAATGAAAAAAGTACCATCGTAAAACAAGAATATTTTCCATGGAAAAGTACATTGCAAAAAACACAATCATTAACTTATTTTCCAGATACTTGGCAACTTTTGTCTTCAATTACCTTGGCTATTTGTGGTGTTTTGCTAGTTGAAGACAATAATAAATAATCATAAAAAAATTATGAGAGAACCTATTACATAAGAGTCCTATGTACAATATAGAAACACAATTACCTCTCGCGTACCACCGCATAGTCTGCATTTCTCGATGTTCCCGTTCATGCTTTGACGAAGAGTATAAGTCGTCTGCATCCCGTGTTGTCAATGGTAGTATAAGCAAAAAAGCCCTCCGCCTTTTCATCACTTGTTGTGTCCAGCTATCCCATGGTAGTGAAGAAACCGAAAGAATATTGGATTCAATCCTGTCACTCGAGGGCCTTAATTTTCTCGAAGCTATGTGTAATGCCCCGATCAATTCAAGACATAATAGACAGCTTACCAAGGGTAAAAGGGCCGGTAAAAAAGTTAAGCTGGTGCTATTTTCGTAGTTTAATTGTTGAAATGTTCATTTAGCCTTTATCGACCTCGAAAAGGCGTACGACACCGTGCCATTAAATAAGTTGTGGCTATGCATGGAAAGTAACGGTGTCTCCAGGACTTTTATAAATGCAGTGAAGGCCCTCTACTGTGTATGTTCCAGTTCGGTGAAGGTTGGCAAGGTATTATCCGCAAAATTTAAAGTCACCAAAAGACTGCGGCTGGGTTGCACACTGGCTCCTGTGTTATTCAAAATATACTTGGAAGAGGTTTTAAATGCACGGAAAAAGAAGTGTAGTCCTATGGGAGTGTCCAAAAACACTAACAAACTGTACTCTGTTTGCTGATGATCAACTGTTAATCGCCGAAGATATTGAGGACTGTAGCTACATGCTGAGGAAGCTTTTTGACGTATATAGCAAATGGGGTTTAAAAATCAACACCAAAAAGACGGAATATATGATAGTTGACACTGAAGATCAGCATGGCTTAGATGCTGGGAATTTTACTGTCAAACATACTTCCTGTTTTAAATATCTAGGTGTAACTCTATCGGCAAATGGGAAGAGTTCAGATGACATAGTCAATAAAATAGGGCAAGGCAAACGAGTTTTCAGGCAACTAAACCCTATCCTCTGGAGTAAGAAAATTAATAACAAAGTGAAGAGATCTATATATAAAACTATTGTAGAGAGCATTAGTATGTATGGAGCTGAGGTATGGGAAATCAGAGATAAAGACAAAAATCGACTGTTATCCCTTGAAATGGATTACCGGAGACGTAGCGCGGGGACTTCAAGATTGGACCACATTCGGAACGAGGAGATAAGAAGTAAAATGGGAGTAGAAGAGAATATTATGGATACTAACGAGATCACGAGACTTATATGGTATGGTCACTTACAACGTATGAACAACGATAGATGGCCAAAAAAGATATGGAATTGAATCCCTGCGGAGAAGAGGAAACGCGGCCGGCCACCCAGGAGTTGGAAACCTGATGACAAAGAAGTCATGAAGATAAGAAATCTTCAGGGGGGTGACTGCGAGGAACGAAAACTGTGGAGATTGAGAAGCGAGAAGCGGCTATAGCTGTAAAAAACTCGCAAATTAAAGCTTCCGCCTTTTGTTGGGTACTTCGACAAAATTTAAGCAAAGAGGACTCTTTATACTTTTTTAATTCTCTCTAGCTTTCAATGGACTTTGCCATCATCATCAGGAGCTGCAATTACAATGATAACAGTAGCAACAAAAGTGTAAAATGAATTTAAATTGACTCAACTTACAGTAGTATGTGAGGATGTTGCTAATTGTTGTTTACGTATAGGATGAGGGAAACGTCCAGTAACATGGTGAGAGCTGGATAGATGGTACAATGGTCAAAATTATATAAAATATGACAAGAACAAGTTATCAACTGTTATCATTGTAATTGCAGCTCCTGATGATGATGGCAAAGTCCATTGAAAGCTAGAGAGAATTAAAAAAGTATAAAGAGTCCTCTTTGCTTAAATAACTGGTCTAGACGACAATGACCACGTCTCAAGTTATATATATATATATATATATATATATATATAGCAACATCCTCACAGAGTACTGTAAGTTAATTTAAATTCATTTTGCATGTTGCCGGTTCTAACTACGATACATCAAATTTGTGACATTGATCTTTGTTGCCCGTACCATTCAGTTACAAATTCTTAAAAAAATCTTATGAAAAACATTTTTAATAGCTTTTGCTTCGAACCTGGCTGTAAATATTTCGTAAAACTTCATCAACATATTATTGACAGTAGACCACACTACTATTATTCACAGATTTATCTACAAAGAGAATTCACATAAGTGATATATTTAAATAATACCTCTGATTATTTTGAAACATAAAGAAGGTTGACTCTGCATTCCATGGATAATAGCATAGAGTGGAAAGGCTGTTGGCCTTCTTAAGGTAAGTTTTGAAGATATATCAGTTGGAAACCTTTCCAAGATCCTCAACAGTTCTATCTATACTTTAGTGGTTCGTGAAGTGTAAACCAACTTTCTTAATGCCATACCCTCCAGTACTTACCCTGTAAAAATTTTGATGTTAATTTGATTGCTGATTTCATGTATTGCAGTATACTATATATCTACTAATAATTTATAGCGTTTCTGTCGTTACTATTCAACCTCTTTCTTCACCCAACTCGACCAGTGAAACATTCATCCAGCTATGCAGGCAGAAAATTTTTGGAAACAGCTGTCTACACAGATCATTATCATCTTTTGTCGTTATATTATGCTCGGGAGTGTCTATAACTTGTCCATTCCAGAAATTTGGAATGTCCTCCCTTCAAAGATTGATAAAAATATTTGGGCTATGATTTTGGAAAAAAAACCTGTATATTTTAGGACAGCAGTTCTGTAGAATACGAAAAAATAAGAAATGTGTAATCACATCTCAGATGAAAATAGATATGTTTGAAAAATGTGCACCTTATAAAAACAGTAAATACCTAATATGATTTAAAATTATAAAAGTTATAATAAGTATATCATAATCATTGATATCATAGTTCATCAACATTCCTGAAATATGGAATGTCCTCACTCTCACCTAAAAGCTGAAACAAACTAAGAAAAATACATTTCAAAAAATAAGTGGTCATAGACAACAGACCTAGGAAATATGTAAAAATAAGTATTGTAATAACGCATTTTGCTTGTGAATATATTTTCTCAATAAATAAAGGTGTTTTATCCAGCTGTCGATAGTAAAATGGAAATAATGAATACCAAATATAATTAAAAAACATAATAAATATAGTTTTGTACTGTACTGCTACTACTACCACTACTCCTTTCTTATCTGGTTACTTAGCATCTACGGACACACTTATGAAACCTGAATTTTTCACATACCTCATCCTCAGAAACAGTGGACGATTTTACGCCATACACGTGTTTTGCAAGACATCTCTCCTACAATGATTAATTACATGTATCGCTAACATTTCTTCAAGCATTGCTTGTAAAAAGAATAATTTTTAATACAGTAGTTGGAGTGTATCATATCATCACATTTGTGCGTACTTACACTAACACCATATTAATACTTAGCAGTGTTCTTTCAAATTCTGGATCCCTGTAAACAGGTCCGTGGATCCAGGTGAATTTCTTCCCTATGGTGAAATTTGTTGTGGTATGCATTTTTTGTCTTATGATTAAACTCAATGGAAAATGCTTCATCAACGCATTATGAATAAGTCTCGTCTATATACTAGATCTACTTCGCTCCAAGGTGCATTTTGTCAATACAAATAAACCTGTAGCGGCAGCAGCAGCACATCTCTCCGCTTTCACACCTTTTTCCCGTTCTGTCAAGATGGAATTTATGTTTGGAGTGGCAGCTGAGCTCGCGGGAGTCTAACCAAAGACATACAACTTGCAAGAGGTGCGGTTTGCAGCTAATTGAGACGAATGCTAGCTGTGATTGTTGTTTGTTGGAACGAAAACCGCCGTTTACTCGAATATTTCACGGATTTATGTACGTGCGTTAGACATGACGAGGATGGGGTTTCCTGGTACAATCTTCGAGTAGCTAATTAAGACAGCAAGGAAGGGATAGTGAATAGTACAATTCTGACAAGAATCACCAGCTTAATGCAACTACAATTTCTCATAAATGAGGAAAAAGATTCTTATAGAACATATGTATTTGCTTTTTACATACTTAAAACAATATTCTCACTGAATGTCAGATGTTGGGGAATATTTTAGGAACTTAAATTTACACCGAACAAATAGACTAGGATTTGAGAGAAAAATTGTAACAAGTTGACTTATAACAGAATTATATTCCTTAGGGTATATTAGAAGAATATTCCTTAGGGTATTCAGAGAAACAAAAAAAATCGCTGGGTAGCTTTCTCCTTAAGGGTCAAACTTGGAAAATAACCTTTCAGCGTATATTAGAATATTAATAAATTGATGATGTGAATGAAGGTCCAAAATAAAATAGCATGGAATGATAGTAGCTTCAAAATGAGGCATTACTAGGCCAATTGTTATTACAATCTTTATATTTATAGAAAGTAATAACCGAAGAGCAGTAAATTAAAACCTTTATAGTGGTCAGTGTCCAAGAAAACTTCATCCCCAAATGCCCAAAGGATTCTGCAAATTTCTAATTGTCACTAATTCTTTTGGGTGAAATTACCTTCCTTGACGAGCTTCGCAGCAACCTCAAACCAATCAACTCGTCTCGTATTGGGCTCTAGCTAGAGACTTAGTTTAACATCGTTTTGAAAAAGAATTTCTCATACTTACCACGTAAACAAGTGTCGCCAAAGGAACATCTAGTCCTGCATTAAGAGCAATTAGAGTAAGTCCATTGTTTTTTGACAGTTCAAAGAAAAAAGTTCATCACATCAGGGTCATGATTGACCTCAATCGAATATATTTACACTTGATCCAAAAGCACTATTTTCAGTAAGTATTGATTTGCACGTTTGACGTACATATACAGCTTTTTTTACTATGGCCGAAATCTTTTCTGCTTTTCTGGAATTCGGTTTCAATAAAATGAAAACTATGAGTGCAGTTACAAGTGTTCTCCAGCATCCACCCTACTTTTTGAACATTTTTTGTAAAGCTGGTTCACCCTCCGACTTTCCTAACTAGGCGTAATTGCTATACTGCCTGTGTACTATAAATACAATTATCTGCCGGTGTATCAAT